CCCTTTTTCTCGGAAGTTTCTCAGTGGATTTGGGCTGCACTGCACTCCGCAAGCACAGTACAGCCATATCAGAAAAAAAAAAAGAGAACAGAATCAGTGGACGGCGCTCTTGCGACCAGTCAGTAGGTCGCATACTGCTCAGCCCTATGAACAGGGTGTAGGCGGTTGGCCATCGGCGTCGGCTGCCGGCTGCAAAGCTACCTGGATTTTCTGCATATTATCAGAGAACATGGTTGTGTGGTTCTCTCCTTTTCATCCCAAAAAAGAACGGCAAATGGCATGGTTGTTGCTCCTGAACTTTCTGTTGCGATCTTCATATCATGTGAACATGGGAATGCCTCTGTCAAAGACTCGGTGCTGATTATCTTGCCCACAAGACCTTAATGCTCCATGTTACCGAGTAGCCTACCTCTGTTGGTACACCCCTGAACTGTTGAAATACGGACCTGAGTTTGAACACCACAGAAAGCAGATGAGCAGATGAGCGAAATACCCCAATTCTGAATTACCTAGGGCCGTTCAATCCAATGACGATATCTCAATGCCGTCGCCCTTTGCCAATTTGCTTTTGATGTCTGCTGTTGAGGTTGTGCCATCATCGAAATTGACTTCCTAAGGACACCCAGATTGTGTGAGTGGTAGGGTTAGGGTGTACAGTTGAACGGCTTGAGGGCTTGCAGTGTCCAGTCAAGTCCAGGGTTTATGCCACTTCATGGCTTTGGGGCTTAGGGCTTTGAGTTTCAGATTGGGTGCAAGGTGTAGGGCTACAGTTTTCTTGGAATTTTTCTTCTTCTTCTGGGTTCCGTGTGCTCACCGTCACTGTCTCAGCTTTCGGGTCGTGTTCAGGGCTTTAGGGTTTTGGGTTTTGCATCTCGGGTTGGTTCCAGACCTTCAGGGTTTTGTGGTTCAGGCTCCGGACCTACCTCCCAAATTCCCAATTGCGCAGTCCACGGAATCGCACGTCAACCTTAGTAGCAGCATTTTCCCTGCAGCAGTTTGTGCTTTGGCCAAACATCTTTGTAAGCGACTGCATTGGGCTGGTGTGTGCTTGCCCAGTTTTTCAAAATCTATTCAGATTCTTTCAGAAGGCATATGAACGTTGTGTATGAGCTCAATGAGACGGAGGCAAAGAATGAGGAACACCCGCGTCCACATCTCTCTGATAGCCTCTGATAGCGAGCCATCAGGCCAAGGAAGGAGGCAAAGTGTGTTGGTGCCTTTGAGAGCTTTGTCCGAAAGAGGGCATAGTGTCATTCTTGTGGCACAGTTGTCTTTTCTCTAATCGTTTATTTGGCAGGGAACTATTGACGGCCGCGATTGTTTGTTCTCAAAGGGGATCATCAACACTGCATCACGCCAGTCACTCTCCACAGGAACAGATAGAGCGGATTTTAAGATGACCATATGGCTTCTGCATCTGCACACTATCTCTGCCGTTGCATATTAAACGATTTATGGCAGTGATTCTATGTTGATTGCTCACCGCATTGTGGCCTTCACACTCCAGAAGCATCGATGGAATTGATCATAAGTTGATCCCTCCATCAAAATTTTGTTATTGTGGGGGATAATGCAGCCCCATTTTTTACACAGTCATGACAACTTGTCACTGACTGATGGGTACTGGCATTGAGAATATGTCGGCATTGTGAATATATGTCTCAAAAGAAGACAATCAGAACTCTACAACTTCCATTGCCCATGCCATGGGATTTGTTTTGGAGTTTTGATTTGCTGCGAAACGGTTTTCACGTTTTAGCAGTAGCAGATGCAGTACCCAGGGTTCGATCCCTAGACCTCGTCCTACCCATGTACAGTACCGGTGTAGACCCTGAGAGTTGAACCTGTGACCTGTATATTTGTAGACAGTTGGTAGGTCTGTCATAGGTCCATAGGTAGCAGGGGTTCGATCTGTAGGTCTGTAGAGTAGAAGTCTTAGCGAGTTCCAGAAGTCTAGCTGTAGTCCTTCTAGAAGGTCGGCAAGTGGGCAAGTGGTCAAGTGGCGCGTCAAGTGGTGGACTAAACTGCAGTGCAATTGCAGTACGACTACGGTAGGTTAGCAGTGAGTCCACAGTCAGTCAGAGGTAAGGTCCAGTCAGTCCCAGTCCAGTCTAGCAAGTACCACGGGGGACTGTGAGCACCATGGGCTGATGGCAAAGGGCAGACCAACTAGTTTCCAAAGTATAAATCAAGAGGCAGCGCCCAGCCTTTCAGGCATTCCTGCGGGAGCCATGCGGAAGCGCTGCCACAGGGACTTGCGCAAGGAGGTCTGCAGTGAGCCCGGAGGACGCAGTGGGCGAGAGAGGAGTAGTTTAGTATAGCGATAGGGTAGAGGCAGCCATAGCTGCCGTAGCTATAGTTAGTGGGAAGTGTGTGTGTGTATGTGTGAGTGTTCAGAGTGACGCGTGTGGGATATTTGGGGTGATCCGGTGTATGTGAACAGCGAGTTGTTTGGGCGCTGAGCCGCCATAGCCAATTGGAAGTGAACTCGTATCTGGATGTCATATCTCTGAGTTTTGAGTGGGCGCATGTCGCCAGTTTGCTGCGCTGCTGTTTACATGCATGAAAAGTGTGAATAAGAACGAGTCTGATTGTAGCTGTATAACTTATCCGCATACCGCATATGGCTGAGTTGTATACGTATGTCTGACTATCCCTGTTAATTAACAGGTCATGAGTTCAAATCCTGATGATATCTGACGTATATCAGAATGTTAGGGGCTTTTCCTCTCTTTTTCAGCATGCCTGTTTTTGACAATTGCATATATTTTATTATCTTGGACCTGCTAAACAACGTCGGAGTTGTTGCATGGCTAGCTCCCACAGAAGTAATCACAATTAAAGCCTTGGGTGCGTATATTCAAACAAGGGAGAACACCTTGCCATCATGAAAACACCTGCTCTTACCATAGTAGCTGCATCAATCAGAGTTGATACTGGGGTAGGGCCCTCCATAGCGTCGGGTAACCAAGTATGGAGTCGTATTTGTGTCGATTTTCCTACGGCTTCAATAAAGAGTAAAACACAAATAGCAGTTAGTGCGCTTGACAATGAGAGTTTGGTGTTTGGAATGTGATGCTTTTTTTTTTTTTTTTTTTTTTTCTGTGGAGAGTTATAATGGGAGTTCGGGAACTGAACTGGGAGTAAGGGAGGGGCTTGTGCCACTTAGTTTGGCGACTGAATGTATGTCAATGTGGTATTGATGTGATGTGCTCTGATGTGAACAGACATATGACATGGTGTATGAGCTCAATGAGGTGGAGGCAAGGAGTGAGGAGTATCCCTCGACACTCTCGTATCTCGGCCTCCTTAACTCTCTGATAGCAGCAGACACTGAGCCATCAGACCAAGGGAGGAGGTAACGCATGTTGGTGCCTAGAGCTTTGTGAAAAAGAGGAAACAGTTCCATTCTTCTCCTATATCTGACAGCAATTGATTTGTCTTCTCTCCCAGGCATGTGCATGTTTTGCGGTGCATTTGGTTTTTCTTCCCTCCTGTTATTTGCCTTGCTCATTCCGTATACGCAATAATGTGATGCTGTACAGGTATGCGTGCGCATCGCAGTCCATCACATGCATGATGCACCCATTACAACATAGCTCAATGCAGTGACATTCTGCCAAGGACCCTGTTTGATCAGTTGCATGACCGGTGGTATGCAAAAGGGTCATGGAAGGGGCACGTGCGTACAAAGGCACGACGGGAAAGCACTTCGTCGTGCACAAATGATTTCCTCATCTTGCGCGAAAGATCCCAGCCACAACCGTTTGATCCGATATCCGCAGAAACTGTGATGCCTTTTGTAGTGAAGTCAAACCTCCTCTCAATGGGGTACAATTTCTTTGGCCCTGATCCATTTGATCGCAGACAACGCACTTGCGGCACACCTACAATTGCTCTACTCTGGCTTTTTCTGTTGAAGGCTCTAAGGCCTTGGTAAGGTTTTTTCTTGTTTCTGTGAAAATAAGGGGTATGCCCCTGAACTTCGTTGTCTCACATGAGGATTTGAACTCTTGACCTGCTTATAAATATAGTCGCTTGTGCGTGTCCGTCCCTGTGGGTTGTCTTTGCCCAGAAATGTGCTCGGTGTTTGTTTTGTGGAGGAGCTTTTTCCTTGTTTCCATCCTAATACCGGTATTTGTCTTTTCCAGGTATTCTGCAGTCTTCCGATTTGTGAGGGATCATGTCTTTTCCAAGTATGCTCAAAGAGGTTACGCACAAGTGAGCCAGAAGTGGGAAATCGCAGTTGCTGCTCTGACTCACTTTCACAGGTAAGGTCATGTGCTATCCTGCCTCCCACTGTTCGTTTTCTTCTATCCCTTCGTGCCCTGTTTGGGCTGTAGCCATTGCACTCAAATAGGAAACGTCTTGACGTTGAAGTTTTAGGGTAGAGAAATAAATAGACCTGTTTCAGTGCTTGAAAGGAAACACCTTGAACTTCCATGCTGATTTTTCGTTCGTTGTTGTTAATAAACACCTTGAAAGTCCAGCTTCAAATAAAACAAGTTGAAGGTCCAGCTTCAAAAGGCTGAGCGTGCAGGTTGCCGGTGACAGTGATGGTGGGTCTTCGGGTAGGAGGCGCATGAGATGTGGGGATACAAGGTGTGTTGAGGGGAGGAGAGAGACTACGTACCTGTTGTATGCTGGTGGTCGGCATTGGTGCTGACGTCATGTACATTGGTCTTCAATGTCGAAGTGATCTGGTTGTGGGAACGTAGACAGGCTAGATAGGCCGAGTAGAGTAGGCTGGGCGCAGGGCGCCAGACAGTAGGAGGGACAGTGGATACTGTGTTGATGGGACCAGATTGGGGCGACATTGATATCAGAGTACGTTGTATTGCTCTTATTGGATGGAATCTTTGTGCATTTGAGCTCTATTCTTGGTACTCGACTATCTGAACTACTTCGTGATTTTGCAGCTTGGTTTTCTGTCTATCGCTGTCGCTCATAATCGTTGCCCAGGTCCCAAAGTAGAGCTTTCTTTTTTCTGTTTTTCATTTTAAGAAGCTGTCTTCTCCTCATTGGGGAACAGCTATATATATGTACTTTTTCTCTCAATTTTGGCATTGTAGACATACCTGGATGTGGTGGCCCATGGATAAAACGGTTGGATAAGCAGTTGTGCTGGATGACAGGGGAGTGTGCGACTACTACCTGTGTGGCGGATGCTTTATGTGGTGTTGTGTGTGTGTGTCTGTGTGTGTGAGTTGAAGGACACTACAGCCATGCAGGGTTGGGGTGGATATCACGACCTCCATGGATCCACTTTTGTACACCGTGTCATGGCTGTAGTGGTTAAGAGCCTCGGTTCAAGAGGCTAAGGCAGCCGGTTCAAATCTGTGTGTGCATAGTTGTCGGGCAGTTGTTGATGCTTAACCACAACCGGGGTTAAGGTGGATTATCACTTACAGTGTAATCAGTTAGGGGATTCTGCAGACTGTTGAGGGTTCAGCCTCCTGATGAGTTGGTGAAACTCTGACAAAACAGTTTGTCACAGCCCCTCGTTTGTTGTCCTCTTCTCCCTCTCTGTCTACGGTTTACTGGGCAGCTCTGTTTGACGATATATACCACGACTGCATAGCACCCTGCTACGGTTTTCTCCTGTCAGGTCGAGCGGCAGTGGTCGGGGCTGTCACTACGGCGCCATGCTGTGCCTCTAGTGCCAGCGGCGTGTCTGGAGTGTAGTTTTTGGCTGTGACAGACCTTTCTTTGTTTCGTGGGTGTTTTGCTGACTTGTGATGGGGTGTGAACCGACAGTCTGTAGAGTTTTCCATCTGGTGTGGGTGAGTGATAGTCTGCTTTGATTTTCGTCACAGGTACCTTGAGGCCAGTGGCTGGTGCCCACCTCAGGGTATCAGTTGTCGGGCAGTCGTTGATGCTTAACCACAGCCGGGGTTAAGGTGAATTATCACTTACAGTGTAATCAGTTAGGAGATTCTGCAGACTGTTGAGGCCATTACTAGTGAACAGACCACCAGGGCACTAGCAAGCTCTACGCGGCAGGGGGAGTAGTACCCAGGCTCCGAACCCCTAGTAAGGGATGACAGACCCTCCATCCTGCCAAGACCAGCCAGGGGGGACAAGGCAACTAGCTCAGTTGGCAGAGCACACAGGTAGCATTCAAGAACTCGTGGGTTCGATTCCCCATGTCGTCCGTTTGATCCCCCATGGCCCCTTGCGGCGCACTCTGGGTTCACCAGAAAAGTACAACTGTTGTATTAGTACTGGAAAAGGAAACACCTGGAAGTTCCTAGTCCATGTTCCATGCTCAAATGTACAGCTGTTTGGTTGCTCGGTTGCTCACTTGCTAACCACTGAGTGCTACTTTGCAAGATTGTGGGTATGCTCCCACTCAGATTTCCGAGGATGTATCAGACCGTAATCATGTTTACGTTCAGTCAACTTGCAATCTTTTCCTGGTGCTGTGCAGTTTGGCAATGGTATCCCAAGGCCGTTGTCCTTTTCTTTTTCTTTTTTCCTTCTCTCTCTCTCTCTCTCACTCTCTCTCTCTCCCTCTCTCTCTCTCTCTCTCTCTCTCTCTCTCTCTCTCTCTCTCTCTCTCTCTCTCTCTCTCTCTCTCTCTCTCT